TATCTATCTATCTATCTATCTATCTATCTATCTATCTATCTATCTATCTATCTATCTATCTATCTATCTATCTATCTATCTATCTTGTTTTTTCCTGTGCCCACTAGGTCATGAAAAGTGGCTGAAGAGACCCTGAGACAGTTCCAAGCACAGGTGTGCATCATGGCCCATACTGAAGGGGTGCGCTGAACCATAAACAATGATATAAATGTCTGGCAAATAAAATGGCTAGTTAACAATCTTTTGACTGCTCTAACCTCTGAGCCTTTGTCGCGTATCGATCAGCCAGCTGTTCCTGGCTTTGTCTGGCAGGACGGCAGCCTCTGGTTCCTCTTGGGATGAATGGACAAAGCCACCAAAAACTTTCTGCTGCCTTTCAAGTTCGGTCTGGCTGAAAGAAAAAATTCAAACGAGGAGCCGTTCATCACTTCTAGCGGGTCAGACTTTATATATTTATCCTATTCAAATGAATTAAAATCATGAATCAGTCTGCCGCGCTCTCCGAGCTGTTTAAAAGCTTTAATATAAAGTTGCTTTTTATATCTGACAACCCCTGGCAGTGGCTTCTTTGTTCACAGTTGCCATGTTGATGGTTTACATGGAAACCATGTAAATGGTAATTTGGATGGGAATAATTTGTCTCCCTATATTAAGATAATTGTATGTTAAATAACGAATATCCTCACAATTACAGTGGGTGTCGTATGATGGGTCTTGTCACGCAGCTATGTCAGGAAAGGGTGCTAATGATCTGTCTGAGCACCTGTCAGTCAAAGTGTTGGCTGACAGCAGCAGAAGCAGTGAAATGCTCTGAGTGAGGTTTTATAGTTCAGGTTATATAGTGGGTGTCAGTGCTGCCCTCCTTCCACTGTTAGAGTCCTTCTTCAGCCACCCAAAGACTGCCTATTTATGATCAAAATGAAATGAGTTTAGCAATTTATTTGGGAATTTGTTGCATAGCCTTATTAGATGTTATGATCAGTATGTCCCAGACCACTTGTTTGCTTGCCTGAGGTGATAGATTACAGTTTCACACAAACGCTGTTTATGATAAACAGTGATAACAGTGTATTTTGCCACCATTTGGCTTGACT